TCCAATCTGATAGCCTGTGTCTTTTGATTGGGGCATTTAGCCCATTTACATTCAGGGTAACTATTGAAAGATATGAATTTAGTGCCATTGTATTGCCTGTAAGGTTACTGTTACTATGTATTGTCTGTGTTCCTTTCTGGTCTATGTTACTTTTAGGCTCTCTCTTTGCTTAGAGGACCCCTTTCAATATTTCTTGTAGGGCTGGTTTCGTGTTTGCAAATTCCTTTAGTTTTTGTTTGTCCTGGAAGCCTTTTATCTCTCCTTCTATTTTCTTTTTTTTTTTTAATATTTTATTTATTTGAGAGAGAGAATGAGATAGAGATGAGAGGGGGGAGGGTCAGAGGGAGAAGCAGACTCCCTGCTGAGCAGGGAGCCTGATGCGAGACTTGATCCCCGGACTCCAGAATCATGACCTGAGCCGAAGGCAGTCGCTTAACCAACTGAGTCACCCAGGCGCCCCTCTCCTTCTATTTTCAGTGACGGCCTAGCTGGATATAGTATTCTTGGCTGCATATTTTTCTCATTTAGTGCTCTGAAGATATCATGCCAGTCCTTTCTGGCCTGCCAGGTGTCTGCGGATAGGTCTGTTGCCAGTCTAATGTTTCTACCATTGTAGGTTACAGATCTCTTGTCCCGAGCTGCTTTCAGGATTTTCTCTGTGTCTCTGAGACTCATAAGTTTTACTATTAGATGTCAGGGTGTTGACCTATTTTTATTGATCTTGAGGGGGGTTCTCTGTGCCTCCTGGATTTTGATGCCTGTTTCCTTCCCCAAATTAGGGAAGTTCTCTGCTATAATTTGCTCCAATATACTTTCTGCTCCTCTCTCTCTTTCTCCTTCTGGGATCCCAATTATTCTAATATTGTTTTGCTTTATGGTATCACTTATCTCTCAAATTCTGCCCTCATGATCCAGTAGTTGTTTATCTCTCTTTTTTTTCAGCTTCTTATTTTCTATCATTTGGTCTTCTGTATCACTAATTCTCTCTTCTGCCTCATTTATTCTAGCAGTTAGAGCCTCCATTTTTGATTGCACCTCATTATTAGCCTCACTATTGACTTGGTTAGATTTTAGTTCTTTTATTTCTCCAGAGAGGGTTTCTCTAATATCTTCCATGCGTTTTTCAAGGCCAGCTAGTATCTTTAAATCTTTTTTTTAGATTTTTTTTTAAAATTAATTTATTTGACAGAGAGAGAGATAGCGAGAGCAGGAACACATAAGTGGGGGTGGGAGAGGGAGAAGCAGGCTTCCTGCTGAGCAAGGAGCCCGATGTGGGACTCGATCCCAGGACCCTGGGATCATGACCTGAGCCGAAGGCAGACGCTTAACGACTGAGCCACCCAGGCGCCCCCAGCTGGTATCTGTAAAATCGTCATTCTGAACTCTAGTTCCGACATCTTACTAATGTCCGTATTGATTAGGTCCCTGGCAGTCGATACTGCCTCTTGTTCTTTTTTTTTTTTTAAAGATCTTATTTATTTATTTGACAGAGAGAGACAGTGAGAGAGAGAACACAAGCAGGGGGAGTGGGAGAGGGAAAAGCAGGCTTCCCGTGGAGCAAGGAGCCTGATGCGGGGCTCGATCCCAGGACCCTGGGATCATGGCCTGAGCTGAAGGCAGACACTTAACGACTGAGCCACCCAGGCACCTCTCTTGTTCTTTTATTTGAGGTGATTTTTTCCATCTTGTCATTTTGTCCAGAGGAGAATAGATGAATGAGAGAACAAAATGCTAACAGGGTAGCAATGACCCCAGAAAAATATACACTAAACAAATCAGAAGAGACCTGAAACCAGGGGAAAAGAAAGGGAAAGAAACGAAAAAGTAAAAGATTACAAAAAAAAAAAAAAGAATATGATTGAATATGATCAGGCTGGTGCATAGATCAGTGCCACACACTAGATTTTGGGCGTATTTTGGTCTGTTAGAAGAAAGTGCCTCCCAAAATTTTAAAGAAAGAAAAACTTATATATGTACAAAAATAAGGGTAAATATGATGAAGGGATGGAATATGACTGTAAAGGTGAAAATTATAAAAGATTTTCTAAAAGGAATTGATAAGAAGTTGGTTGAAAAAGAAAGAAGAGGAATTTAAAAAAAAAAGGGAGAGAATGTGATCAGGCAGGGGACTATAACAAAGGCATACACTAGAGATTTAGGGTATATTTAGGTCTGTTAGGAGAAACTGTATCCCAAAATTTTTAAGATTTTATTTATTTATTTGAGAGCGAGAGCGAGAGCGAGAGAATGAGAGAGAGAACACGAGAGGGGGTAGGGTCAGAGGGAGAAGCAGACTCCCTGCTGAGCAGGGAGCCCGATGTGGGACTCGATCCTGGGACTCCAGGATCATGACCTGAGCCGAAGGCAGTTGCTTAACCAACTGAGCCACCCAGGCACCCTGTATCCCAAAATTTTTAAAGAGAGAACAACTTATATTTATATACCAAAAAATAAGGTTAACTACTATGAAGGGATAGAATATGACTCTAAAAATGAAAGATAAAAAAGATTTTTAAAAAAGGGATTGATAAGATACTGGTTGAAAAAGGGAAAAAGAAAAATTAAAAAAAAAAAAGAAAATTAAAAAAATTAACTTTGAAAGACTAAAGAATCATGGGAAGAAAAGCCATGAATTCTATGTGCAGTATTCCCCTAGTGCTGGAGTTCTGCTGTTCTCATTGATCGGTAAACTTGGTCTTGGCTGGCTGTTCTTGCTGATCTTCTGGGGGAGGGGCCTGTCGCAGGGGTTCTCAAATGTCTTTGTGGGAGGCGGAATTGCCCCGCCCTTGCCAGGTCTGGGCTAAGTAATCTGCTCAGATTTGCTCTCAGGAGCTTTTGTTCCCTGCAAGCTTTCTGTACAGCTTTGGAGGACGAGAGTGAAAATGGCGGCCTCCCAATCTCCGCCCCGGAGGAGCCGAGAACTTGGGGCCCCGCTCCTCAGTGAGACCCCAGAGAAAAGCAGTCAATCACTCCCATCTCCCTGGTCTCCGGCCACACTCCGTGCTTACCCGACCTGTGACCGAGTGTTTCTATCTCTGGCACAGGACCCGGTGTGGAGTCTCCAAACCCAGCAGATCCCTGCGGTGCACTCCTGTGCCGCTCCTCCTGGGGAGGAAGGGGAGTCTCCCCGGATCTGCCCCTTGTTGGGTCCTTTCCAGAAAGTGGTTTCTTTTCTGTTCAGAGAATTTCTGCTATTCTTTTCTTTGATCTCCTGTTGAGTTCATAGGTGTTCAGAATGGTTTGATAACTATCTAGCTGAATTCCTGGGACCAGAAGAAATTTAGGTCTCCTACTCCTCCACCATCTTGCTGTTTGTTTGTTTTTAATATGAGCTAGTCAGGGGCCAAATTTGGACTCCTCTCTCTCCATGGGTTTGATCTCTTTATTCATAGATGATGTTTCAAACTTGTCAGTAACACCTTGCTTTCAGTTATTTCTATGACCAACCAGGTAGTAACTGAAATCCTGCTGTGCACCATGTGCTAGATGATATGGGGGCAGGCAAATATGTACAGGATATGGATTCTGCCCACTGTAATCTTACAGCATACTTGGGCAGACAGGACCTAGATGCCTGCAACATACCATAGAATATCAAAGTGCATAGTACAAACACTTAGAGGAGAATTTAGATTTAAAAATGTGTCAACCATGATACACAATAGGTACATAATAAGTTAAAAAGGGGGATTCTCATTCCTTACTTGGAGATTGCATTATCCTTTTTTCCCAGCTTTTATTTGAAAGTATATAATTATGTATTTATTTGCTTTTTTACTTATATTTTTGTCTGTCTACCCATAAGAATGTAAGTTTCATGAGCTGGTTAGGTTTACCATAAGGAGGACACCTTGTAAACAAATAGTTACACATTGTGGGATAAATGATATATGAAAGGGGTGCTCTGTGTGCTCTTGGAACACAGGAGAGCCTGTGGCCTGGGCTCAGAGTACAGAAAGAACTTCCTAGAAGAGCTAACATTTGCCTTGTGTGAGAAAACCCCAAGGATACATTTATAGCAATGGGTAGATGGATCAAAAGGAGTGCATATTTAACATTTTGTTAGATATTGCTAAATTGCTACATTGTGTTTTGAAGAATGAGTGGGAGTTTATCTGGCAGAGAAAGGTACAAGAATGATGCTATTTTAGGCACAGGAAGAACAGGAACAAAGACATGGCATGTACAAATGATTGTGTAGTTTGGTGGGATGCAGGGTGGGGAATGGCCAGGCACAGGACTGTAAGAGAATTTAGGGCCAAGTTAAGAATTAGGTGGGCTAAACAGAGCAGGGGCAGCTCTCTCAGTGGAAGGAATCCACATCAGACTTTAAAATGTAAATAGGATGTAAGGTAAAGATGAGTAGGGACATGAATTCATTTCTGTGGATTGTATCTTCCCTCCCTCCTTCCCCTTTCCCCACTTATTTCCTGCATGCCTGCCTTGCTTCCTACCATTTATTCAGTACCCGTTCCATGCTAGTCATTGTTCTAGGCATTGAAGAGAACAAGGCAAAGTTCTGCTCTCATGGAGCTTGCATTTTAGTGGAGGTGATACACAATGAACAAATGAAAGAAGGAGAGGAAGGAAGAAAGGATATGTAGATGATGCAAGGAGGGAAATGGTTAAGTGAAGGAAGAGTGCCCAGTGAGGGAGGTGGTCCAGACACCCTGGAGAGCAGATGCTTCACTCACCTTCTGCCACAGCCCTGCCCTGCCCCAACTGGTTGCAGCCTCACTCATAGCCCAGCATGCGATTTCTCTCCTCTCTGAACTCACCTTGTGATTTTGTGATACCCATTTCTTGCTGCCTTCTACTCTCATTTTTCATCTCTCCTGTTCCTTGTAAACTCCTCAAAGACAGGCTGAGCTTTTCCATGTTCAGATCCCACACTAGAGCACAATGCTTTGAAGCACAGAACTCTTATTTAAAAAATAAATGCCATTGTTGAAAAACTTAGCAAATTACATTTTCAGTTTTTTCTCTTCTCTTGATTTTAGGTTGTTTGCATGAAACATGATCACTGCTACCGAGGCATCCTTTTGCTCCTGCTGAGTACTGCCTGCCTGCATCTTCAGTCTTTGTGTTGATAGCCACATTGTTCCACTCTCCATAAGATGAAGGACCTCTCAGATTGTGCTCCTCACCTCATAATGAGAATTATCAGCAGGCCCGGATGGATTCCTAAGCAATGTGAGCCTGCTCTCCTGCAAATGTCTTTAATAATAAATGAAGAGAAAGGCAGAAGGTGCAATATATTCATTTCTTTATTATGGAATGTCCCTGTAGGTTTTTAGTGCCTAAATTTAAAAAAGAAAGGAAACTATAATTTTTGGGTCTTTGTTTGCATATCATGAAACAATTTCAGTTTGGAGTGCAATACTGACTCTTTGGGGATCGGAGGGATTTCCAGAGTTTATGGAGGCACCTTATTTTTTCGTTTAGTTGGAGACAGTTTTAATAAGGGTGACGTTAGATTATTTGTGACCATTTTGCTTAAGCAGGAAAAGGATTATGATTAGAAATATGGGTTAGATCCACCTTGAAAACCTTCAGAAAATTATAACTCCAGGTCTTTGGAGGAGAGGTTATTTTTTTCTAACATGGCAGTAAAGACTCAGTAGTATCAGCTTCTACGAATGTGGAGTGTTAGAACTGGAAAAAGCCTTAGTGATCCAGCTTCTTCATCCTGTAGATGTGAAAATGAGATCCAGAGCCACGAAAGGACTTACTGAAGATCACTCATCCCAGGCAGTGATTGAGGCATGCTAACAACTTAGGTCTTTTGGACTTGTTCACATTTCCTTCCATTATTGATATGTGGTAAGTGCAAGGGCTTGATGGGCTATAAGATGTTTTACATCTGTGAACTACTATCATCCCATCATTTCAGTGTGCTGCCTCTTATCTTGATTTGACCTCTGTGGGCCTGAGTTTACCTGTGTATAAAACAGTTGGCCATAGTTGATATCCAAATTCTCTTCTATTCCTAAAATTCCGCTATCTCATGGGTCCTTTTTAAGAAAATAGAGATAGTGGTTGGAAGAACCTTGGAATTCACCAAGAACCTCTAGACTTTTTCCTCCTTTGACTCTCCTTCTTCAGTCTCATCTCTTGCCACTTCATGCCTTTCTTATCCCCTCACCTATCAGCTGAACTAAAAGTACAGCACCACAAATGTCTCAGGTTCTCTCATTGTCTCAAACTAACTGCACCTGATGTGCCCTTGGCTGTCTCTGTCCTGCTGACTCCTGTTTGTTCTTTAAGGCTTGGTTTGAGCATCATCTTCTCAGGAAGTCTTTCCTTATGTCCTCTTATAGGCTTCCCTAGCACACAGTACTTCCTGCTATCACAGTGTTTATCATATTGTATAATAACTGTCTACTTAGATCTTTCTCTCTCTTTCCAGCCCGTGAACTCTTTATCTCTGAATACCAGTGCCTGCAGTGTGCCTGGAACATAGGAGAGGCTTAATAATTGTTTTTAATGATATGTAGATAGATTGCTTATTGGTTTTCTCCAGAACATGACCAGCAGTTCCACACTGATACCCATGTCTTGTTTTTCAGCAGAATTTGACTTCTGGGCATTGGATGGTGGGCACAGCCAATTTGTGTCTTGAATGGAATAATGAGGGAATTAAGATTCATTTTCCATGAGCCACCTCTGAACATCACCCCTGTGAAGTCCTTTGGTGCCATTTTGCTGATGGAAGAAGCTTAAGGTGAATGACTTCTGAACCTTCATCACTGAGGATAACATGAAGCTAGTCACTTGCCATCTCGCTACACCTGAGCATGCCAAACTGCGTTTCATGGAGGGAATTCCAGAAAGATATGTTGCAGACCCAAGAAGAAATGGCTCCTTGTGAGTTTACAAGATCTAGTGTAGATTAGCAGTTTCTTTAGAGTTCTGGGGAGATAGGCGTAAGGCTTCCTCTGCAGCTGGAGGATGAGAAGAGGTTAGCCATTGTCCAGATTCTCAGAGGTTTCTCCCTCTGAGTTTGCTGAGTTGCTTCTTATATGTGTTAAGTCAGGCAGCTGCTGCTAATTGCTGCTGATTACTGTAAGTTGCTGGCAATAGCAAGTGGCTCTCCTAGCAGCAGTAAAGGCAGATCTTAAGATAGCAGGAGTAGGGATAGAATAGTATAAATGGCACTGAGGGGCCAGAAGACCAGGAAACCTAGAGCTAGGCAGCCCAACAGGCCGCTTAGTGGGGAAGCCCAAAGGAAAAGCCCAAGGCCACTAAGGTTATGGAAATGACTCAATTCTGGCAGGAACTGGGATTCTCTTGTGTTAATTTTCATGCTAAACAATGAATGGAAGTTGGCCACTAAGTTTGAGGAAAGTTGCTTCTCAACACCTCAGTGTGTCTGAATTCTGGAGGAATCTAGAGTAAAATAAGAGAAATAATACCAGATGGAAATAAGGAAATTCAGGATTTTGATAACCTGATCAAAATTAATGGAGGGTAAGCGCACAACATGAAACATACAAGTAATCCCAGACTGTTGAGATTACTGAATCATTGTTGGCCTTCCCCTCCTCTCTCCAGCCTATTTGTGAGAGAAGCTTTTCCCCTTCATCTCTGCTTTTCCTTCTTTCTTGGGCTGGAGTGGGAACGTGGACATGGTCAGTCCTTTTTATCATTCATTTATTGAGCTCACTGACTGCACTATAGTAGGCTTTAGGGATATAACATGAAACTAGATGGAGTTTAAAGTATTTTAGTCCCTCCTGCTTTTTCTTTCTTCTTCTTCTTCCTTTTTTTAAAAAAGATTTTATTTATTTGACAGAGAGAAAGACAGCCAGAGAGGGAACACAAGCAGGGGAAGTGGGCAGAAGGAGAAGCAGGCTTCCCGCCGAGCAGGGAGCCTGATGCAGGGCTCAATCCCAGGACCCTGGGATCATGACCTGAGCCAAAGGCAGACGCTTAATGACTGAGCCACCCAGGCACCCCTCTTTATTCTTCTTAAAGTTTAATCCAGCTATTCACCCTGCTTGGATGCTATTTCCTTTTCTTTGGTTGGGGTGGGATGGGGTGTGTGTATGTGTGTGTGTGTGTGTAAGTTCCTGAGACAGGAGGGAGACCAGAGTCCTTTCCTGGTAACTTGGGAGTGAATAACAGACATGAAAGGAAGGAAGGCTTGGTTTAGGAGTCTTTGGATTGAAAGACGCCTCTGAGGCCTGGTTGGACTGGTTACTCTCAGTCTGAATGAGGTCATCTCAGACATGCATATTTCATCAGTGGTTGCATCAGTTGGGGCTCTAGCAGAAAGTATATAGCACCCTGAAATGGTCAATTTGAGAGAGTTTAATACATGGACTTTTTTCAGAGATATGGGCAGAGTAAGGGATGTAGATGCACCCAGAGAGTAGCAATGGTAGCAAGTGCATTCTGATTAAAATCTGTCAATTTCATGAAGCTGCCAGTTGGAAAGAACGTAACAGCTGAGGATTCAAGCATCTTACCATTCTGGTGCATCATTCTCTTCTCACTGGAACATCTACAGGTGTTATTAAACCCATTTACAGTTCAGCCATGTTAAAGAATTTGCCAAATACCGCACCTCCAGTAAGTGGGAAAACTGAGATTCGAACTCAGATCTATTAGAGTCTAAATGCCATGTCCTTTCTGATTGTAGCCATTATATTTCTCATTCAAGGCAGGAGGAGATAGGGGGAGGATTGTCCCTTTTGTTATGAAAGCAAAACCTCTTGTAGACATCCCCAGCAGATTTCCAGTTATTTCTCACTTGTCAGAATTGTGTTATATGATCCCGTTGCTGGGTCCCCTTATGTGCCTGTCTCCCATCCCTCCAGCTGCAAAGAAGGCTGGAAAAGCAAGTGCTTGGCTTTTTCATCCATATGGTGGAAAGTGACAAGAGAGTAGGAGTTGGGAATGATTCTTCAGTCAACTAGCTAGTGACTGACTTCTTTTTTTCTACAGTTTTTATGGCACATTCTTTCTTTAGATAACTATACATTCTATCTGGTTTTGTTCAATTAATGCAAGACTCTTCACTTTCTGGGTATTTAAGGTGATAACATATTTCTGATCTCTATTGTATTGAGTTTACATTTTAACTCTGAATACATTTTTATTTTTCCTGTCTCTGGGTTTATGAGAGATACTTAACAGGACATCTTGGGTGCTAACAATAATGCCTATGGTACCAGGATTAGAGATCAAGAGTGGGAAGCATGAACACACTTCCTGGTACATAGCAGCTATTGGGCAAAGGGTGACTATTATCATTTTTCATCATTTCTACCTTCAGATGGGACTTGGACGATTGAGGAAGATCTTGGAAGGAAATGGCAGATGGTGTTGACAAATGGGGCTTGGATGTGTGAATCCTGGTATAAAACATCAGGATGATGCATTCTTGGCCAAGTGTAGAGAATGGATGGAGGGACAGGATGCATTTGTTCACAAGCTGGCTAGCAGATATAGAGTACTTTAAACTGAATAGGGCAGGAGAAGGAGAAAAAACCACAGCCAGATAATACAGGCAAATCAGTTCTACAGAGAATAAGAATTGAGAGTTAAAAAAGAGGGTAAAATGATTGGAAATGGTGTAATTCACATGAGAGATGATTGAAGAGTGTAATACTCTCTGCATTGTCCTCTCATTGGACTGATCTCATTGTGTTACAGTCATATTTACATTTACTTTGCTTTGTCACATAATCTCAGATAAGACAAGCACCACTATAATTTTCCCAAAGGGAACAGAGGTAGATTCCAGACCTAGAGATGGCATTAAGTTGATAGCTTAGATGAAAAAGAGATGTTTTAGGGGCGCCTGGGTGGCTCAGTTGGTTAAGCGACTGCCTTCGGCTCAGGTCATGATCCTGGAGTTCCGGGATTGAGTCCTGTATCGGGCTCCCTGCTCGGCGGGGAGTCTGCTTCTCCCTCTGACCCTCCTCCCTCTCATGCTCTCTGTCTCTCATTCTCTCTCTCTCAAATAAATAAATAAATCTTTAAAAAAAAAAAAAAGATGTTTTAGGGCATCTGTGTGAAGGGGTCTGTGGAAAACTTTATTACAAAATTATCACTTATATAGCATATACTATGTGCTGGGCACTATTCTGAGTCCTTAGATTATTTAATTTAATCTACACAATGGCCATATATAGTAGATATCATTATCATTCCAGTTTTACGGTTGAGGAAACTGAAGGATGGGGAGAATAAGTGACTGACTGGAGCCACATAGTTCATAGTGGTTAAAACCAGCTAGTCAGCTCTGGAAGCTATGCTAGATTTCCCATATCAATGAAGATAAGTTACGTTCACTTAAATGAGTTTCTTTCATAAGGATTACTAGTCTGGCAGTTAGGGGCAATGTGGTTGTAATGTGCACTTGCTTTTGAAATATTTAGTTCTATTATAGAAGATGATAAATTTGTAAAAAAAATAAGTGAAACATTTAAGGTATGTTATATATAGACAAACAGTAAGTAGAACATGCATGGGTCAAACATAGGTGGGAAGGAATAAAAGGATCAAAAAATATCTAATATTCATGAGGTCCTGGGTACTAAATATTCATTATACACTAAATATATATGGGATCTATGAGATGCTAAATATAAAAAAGGCACAAAGTATTCACATTACTAAATGAACACGTAATATTCATAAGACCCTGTTTGTAGCAGCCATTCTGGCCTCACGTGTCCTCTGCCCAAGAAATACAAATAAACCCAGGGCTTTTAATCAGCTAACTGTTGAGTTATAGCGATGGCCAGAGATACTTATCCCTACATCTCTCCAACAAAGCTAATGTGTGGGCCCAGGGCACCTTCCGTCCATGAGCCCTCTTTGCTCAAATCTCAGTTTTGGTTATTGTCAGAAAGGGGTATGTGTGTGTGTGTATGTGTGTGTGTGTGAGTGAGAGAGAGAGAGAGAGATTGAGAGAAGACAAATGAACACTGCTAACCCAGAATTCAAGCAGTGAGGTCCTTCCAGTTTATTTGTAACCCTATCTAAATGTGTTTAACTTTATGGTCTCTTTCCCCCTCTTTCCCCTTCTTTCTCCCTGTGTGTTATAAGTGGATTTTTAGCAAACCATTCCATGACTTCCTGGTAGTACTTTTGGCATTTTGGTAGCCTAAAATGGCATCAAGATAATTTCCCACAGGACCGTGGTACACATTGGCTATCAGGACCTCAGCAGGACCCCTGACAATTGTGCATGAGATCCTTGTGGGCAAAAATAAGCTGAGAGGTACTATGAACATAGAGACTCGTGCTTGCTATTGAGGCAGTATTTGGGAACTAGTGTCCCAGGAAGCAGGTGATACTCCATCTCTCTCTGGTCTGCTCTGGTGATTAGCTAAAGACACAGAAGATAAGCTAATCAAACTTAAACACATGGTATTGAAAGGTTTTCATGTTGGAGAGAGGTTTCATCATGAGTTGAGCTGTGGGAAATCAATTCCATTTTGGAGCCAATATGGGTTGTGAGGGGGAGGACCAGTGTGGTTACTGGCCATGGAATAGAACAAGGTGCCATTGAGTCCATAGAACTCTGAGTGGGGTGAGGTGGGGAAGAATGAGAACAGGGCTCAGCCCCAAGAGGTATGTATGGCGAGAGGGAGGTAAGAAAACAAGCCCCAGATGAGGAGTTCCACAGAGCAGGTGAACAAAACCCAGGTTACCCTTAGTATAGGGAAATCAGTGGTTTCCCTGGGGAATATGAAAGTAGCTGCTAAC